AGCGTTTGAGAGAGGCGGGGCATAGAGGACCTACAATAATGTACAGTATTTGAAAAATAATGTGTTTTTTGGACATTAAAGCATGTCAACACATTCTGTTATACCAAATACACAAAATAATTATATTTAAAATAGCATCATATGACCCCTTTAAGTTAAACAGACCCACACTTTGTTTAAAATTTTAATGGCTAAATTTCCATGTTCTATACCAGGGGTGGGCAAACTTGGCCCTTCCAGGTCACTTTCCTTCTGAGTTTAGCTCCAACTCTAATCAAACACACCTGAACCAGCTAATCATTGTCTTCAAGACTACTAGAAAGCTATAGGCAGGTGAGTTTTATCAGGGTTGGACCAAATCTCTGCAGGAAAGTGGCCTGGAAGAGCCAAGTTTGCCCATCACTGGTCTATAGCATTTAAAAATGAAGTGAAGCGTTATATTGAGGCTATATTGCCCTCGAAGAAACAAAAGCTAGTCAGAATTTGCAAGCTTGTGCACGCTTTAATGTACTCCTATAATATGGTTTATTTCTCCCCCTAGTATAGGAAAAATTGCTGTATTTGCTGTTGTAATTGTATGTGTTGCCAGACGGTAAAAAAAAAAAAAAAAAGTATATTATAAGCGCTGTAACTGCTTGTCATTTCTCAGTTTCTGCACTTTGCTTCAGTAATCCTGCTGACAAACCAATGCTTAATGTTTCAAGATTCAAACATTCCCCATGTAGTCGCTTTACATGGGGTCTTAAAAACCCTGTATATTACACACAAAGTTTAAAATGGTCACTAGCAGGACGCTACAATTCTCCAATGTTCATATTAAAAAAATCACAAATTATATTTTAAACAAGTCTGAGTTAGAGCAAAGTAACTGCACTAAACAACCGCAGCACAAACAAGTGAGAAACACATCTGAAGCATGAATACCTGTCCTGTTTGCATTAATCATCATTACGCCGGATCAAAAATGACACGCTTGAAACTGCATAAGAAATGAAACGGTCACGATTAGTCTGTGCATGTTAACACGGACAAATAAAGACTTCACAACATCAGTGTTGGTTTTCCAAAACAATTTTATTAAGAGATATATTACAAATGTCTAGACGCCGCGGGGGGTCTTGAAGTTCATGCCGACGGGAGGCTGAGTCACCTGAAGATTGGACAGGCTGCCGAAATCCTGACGGACAAGAAAACACAATTAGCAAGAGAACTGATGACTGATGGAGAGAGAGTCACTCAATGCTCATGTTTAAGACCAACAACAGTAAAGTACAGCAGCCGAGATGCTTGAGCAGGGCTGCAGACAGAGTCACCACAGAATCATTCAACTGAGCGACAGCAGCCTCGTCTGTTACACATTCAGCTGAACCCCAGCTCAAGACGCTCTGCGTTTCACTGTTAGCTGGCGTCTGAGCCGGCATATAATTACAGCCACAAGAATCCTGAGATTAGGTGATTTATCCATGTGATCCTCAGCTGCAAACAAGAGCAAAGACAAGCGTGTGCGAAAGATCCAGGGTTTGTGAGGAACAGGATCCAGCAAACACGGGAAAGTCTTTCACTTCCTCTTCCTGTTCTATCAATGACCTGGAGACCAGAGTCACTCCACAGTCACTTTCGACACAGGTTCATCAGACACAGGACTGAACGATTCTCACCAGAAGCTTGAGCATTTCCTTGGTGTCGGTGTCGACCTCGATGATCTCCTGGTCCAGAGCCGAGACCTGCAGAAACACAACAACATCATGAGGCCAAACACAGCTACACTTCACATGCATCTGAGCTCATGTTGTGTGAAAGATCCAGGGTTTGTCAGGAACAGAGTCCAGCAAACACGGGAAAGTCTTTCACTTGCTCTTCCTGTAGTATCAATGGCCTGGAGACGGTGGCTCCACAGTCACTTTCGATACAGGAGCCTCAAACACGAGAGAGACTAGTGCTGGGCGGTATACTGGTTCATACCGAATACCGGTGTTTATTTTTGTTATGATATGAATTTTTAAAATACCGCAATACCGGTGTATGTCGCTTAATTAAACAACGTTCGGAACGCGACACTGTTTGAAAGAAGTCCCTTTTCACTGTTGCACTGTGGTGAGGGAACAGCTGTATGTGTTACTAAG